TAAACAAAAAAATTATAATTATATACAATATATAATCAAAAATAAACGTTGCAATAAAATATCCTATTTAAAGAAAAATCAGTTTTAAAAACACAAAGAAATCTAATTAGTTACAAAGAATATTAAAAGAAAACTATAATAAACTATAAATCAGTCTTAAAAACACAAACAAATCTATTTACAAAAAATATATAAAAAAAAAACTAGAATAAAGGGAAAAAGACAGTTGAATCGCATTGTTGAAGTTACTTGCTTTGAAAATACACTGTAAAACTTTCTAATTCACGACGACTTGACTGTCCCCAACACACCAAAAAGTACCGTTAAGAATTAATTCTGTTTTAACAATCATATTAATAACCTAACTTTTTTAAGTTTGCCTTAATTTATTGCACTGAAAAGAAAAACCCATTAGAGTGCATGGATTAATGGAAATGCAATCATTTTTTCGTCTATGGGCAATAATAGCGAAATTATTAAATTTAAGGGATTACAGCTTAAAGCAGAAGACAAATTCTGCATTTTAAAAATGCTAAATTTACTTGAATCTAACGGATAATCGTAAAATGGTTGCATTGACAAAAACGTATAGCCTATCAGGAAAATCTCGTCAATACTTTTTACAATGAAGCGAAATGTGCCATGTATAGTAAGTTATTAAAAATATCGTAGTATTACAGGCATCTACCTGTATATAATATCCAATATTATGTGTTGCATTTCCGGAAGCGGCCACTGACCCTTTTGGGTATCTTTACCTGATTTTGTAAATAGCACTGTAATTTTAGTAGGTACCTACTTCTGTAACCGTCCTATATTAAACATCAAAACCGAACGCTGTCCATTATTTCAATTATAACAAACAAAGGTCCTTCGATCAATATCAAGGTACAATTCGGAAGACCATACATGGTCGTATCAACCGGATTACAAAAAACGTTGGTACTCCGATTCGGATTGTACGAAACATTGGCACTTCAAGCCGGAACAATTATGTTATATGTATATATGAATTCATTGTATTTTTTTAACTTACAAAGAAATCTGCTTATTCTAATAGGGTAATAGGCAAAGATAATCTTGTAATTCGTCAAAATTTGTTTAGGTGTGGTCTTGGCGGCATAACTTCTATTTTTGTTTACTTTTTCAGTTGTCAGATTTGATGACGTTTCCATGTTGGAGATTTTTTCACTCGTTTCCTTTAGCATTCCTTTCGTTTCGCGCATGTGTTTTGTATTTGTTTCAAATCTAGAATAAAACTATGTTCATTAGCATTAGTACATAAATAATTGCAGTAATATACCTTTTTTTTTATGGCGCCTCATTTTCAAAAACAATCACCGTAAGTTCTTCATAATCAGTGGGAGTATCTTCAGTGATTAATGGTGGTCTTTTTTAAAAAAACTGCTTTTGTTATCTACGTACTGTTATCAAAAATAACAGAAACATGTAAAAATTAAAATGATTACTTTATTAGATATTAACTTACCTAGTGTAAATAAGTATAACCCACACTGTACAGAAATTTTCACAAAACTGCGTTAAAAATGAAGTGAGTAACGGATACACGAGAAAGTTTCGGCAGTTGAGAACCAACTGGAAATATTGGGATGCTTCACTGTGAAGTGCAATAAACATAAATACCGAAAAAAGGGAAAGTCCGAATGGACGCCTCAAACATCTGATGTATTGTATGGTAAATACGAAAGTTGAGCATTATTTTTTCATTAGATGAATAAATTTAATAAAACTAAATATTAAATCACTCTCTAATTTTTTGGTAACCATCATCACTTTATAAACGTCTTTATAAAATCAAAATTCGAGGAAGGAATTCTTCAAAACCTTGTCCCGTTTTAGGGACAATGGACAAAGAATTTTTATGACTTTGTTTGTGTCGTGGGGTCTTTTCACTATTATACGCTCAACCCAGGATATTCTATTTATAATTTGCCAAGCAGGTACTTACAAAATAACACTTCCAGAGTATAAACAAGTTTTCAGAAATAATTATTTGATTAGAAATTATTAGATGAAAAAACTTGTCTTTGGTGTATTTCTAATAAAGCCGTTGTTTTTTTTTTTTTGCTCTAAAGATAATTAAGCATTATGAAGGCCACTTTTTAAAGAATACGACGATCCACATCTAATTGATCATATAATCTACAAAAAAATGACCAAGAAAGGACGGCCTTTTGACGTCATTAATTGACGTCAGAAGTAAGTCATAAAAATCTCGTCATTATCACGTGATTTTTTGGGCGAATGACGTCGCCGACGAGTTATGACCAAAAATTGACGTGAATTAGACGACAGTCTGCTGCTTGGGGGGTAACCGTCGGTGAGGGAAACGAGTGCCATACAAACGCACTGCCACACGGGCTACTCCGCGTGCCTCTCCATAAATTAAATGAATGTCCGCTAATTCTCTAAGTGAATACCCATTGACATCCATCTTAAATTTATTAAAACATGTTCACAGATACTTTGACAAATTGTCAAACAGAAGTATTATTTTATTATTGAATTTATTGTCATGGTTTCTAATAAAACAACTGTAAAAATTTCAATATATCAGGTGAATTCCAGCGGTTTTCAACCGGTGGGCTATGAAATTTGTGTATTCTATAACTCTTTTGGAATAAGTCTGAGCTGTAAATGTTATTAAGGTTTTTTACTCAAAATAATGCAAACTATCACCCCTTAAAATCTGTCACAATAAACCCCAGTCAGGCTGTATTTATTCGAGAAAATATTGTTACGAATTAAACCCATACGCCGCCCCGGTACGACGCCTATGGGTTCTAAAATGTACGGCAATGATGACTCATTGTCGGTGACGCCGGCCGGAGAAGAGCCTGGAAGCGGATGTCGCGACGAGTGTTCGAGAACAAGCCTAGAAGCGGTGACGGGGACCTTCGAGAAGGACCGCGGGGATGTTTAAATTGGAACCACCATCGGGAGGAGTTAGTGTAGTCCAGACAACGAGAGCTGAATTCAGTTAACAAGTCGAGTCCAACGAGTGTCGAGAAAACCCAGTGAAGTTACGTCGGAATTATTTTGTATATAATCACCCTGTAATTAGTCGTGTAAATCCGAGCTACTAAGAAATAAATTATTGAGTTTAACCCACGCCGATTTTAAATACCCGTACAACGTAACAATATTATTCAAATATTACGAGCGTAGTGAAGAACACCTTCATTTTGTCGGAAGCCAACTTTAAGCACCAGAAACATCCGAATCTTCAACAATTAAAAATACACAGCACCTATTCAAATTGATATATGTGTCCTTGATAGAATGTTGATGACATCAACACGAAATTTTATGAAAAAATTCACTTGAAACATACGTATATCTTCCAATCCACACATATCTTTATTTTAACTTATAGGAGTCATAAAAAATTAAATTTTATAATTTTTCGTAGCTGTATTTGTTCGCCTCTGTTTTAGGAAGTTCTGTCTAAATAACTTTAGAGTAATTTTTAGCTATTGTAAAAATAACAACAGTTTCATATTGAAATTGCTACCGCTGTCAAATACTTGAGTCCAAATTAATTTTAAAATATTTGTTGATGTCCAGTAATGGGTATTTTGCTTTGCCGCTCTAAAAAACTCGGATGGGTCATCTTACGGAGTGAAACTATTAATGAAAATTTAGAGGGAATTTACAGACAGATCATGAATTATTGTACATAAATAAACGAAACATCTGTTGTAATAGTTTTGCTATGCATGATGCTGATCATAGAGACAAAATTGAAGTAGAACAAATAGACGGATAGTGCTTATACAGGGTTAGTCAGGAGAGAATTACTTCTGAAAATTATTTTTACGCAACCCAAAATACTAATACCCTGTACCACTTGATATTATCTAAATTTAAAATGAAATGCCTAATCCATGATTGCTTTGACGTTGGCAGTGTCACTTTGACGTTAATTAATTTTTAACATTTTTTTTCATCGTTGACTCGCCTATAGAGCCCCACTGGATCGATGACATACAGTCAGATCAATCTGGGCTATACTGAAGCCGTAAGTGCTCTACCAATGTTGTTGGCCGCTAATGTGCATGTGTTAATTCGCCATCTCTGCGTCACCTAGAGCCTCTTCGAAGTGCAAATCTGCAACCTCTGGACTTCTTCGGCCATCCATTTACAAAAAGCCGTAGCATTCCCACAAAATGCCCAATATTTTCAACAGATTAGTAGTTAATGAGTTTGTGTTGTAACCTTTGAATAAAATGCCGTAAAAGGAATTTTTAGAAATAATTTTCTCGTGATTAATCTGTTGCAAAAGATCAAGAGGCACACTGACAAATTTATTAGCGACGCCGGAGGAGATTTCCGACTGGGTGCGGTACCACCATGGACACTCGCGTGACCTCCTTTTCCACAATTGTCAAAATGAGATTGCCAAACTCAAAGCAATCATGGATTAAGCATTTCATTTTAAATTCAGATAGTATCAAATGGTACATGGTATGCGTATTTTGGGTTGCGAAAAAATAATTTTCAGAAGTAATTCTCTCGTGACTAACTCTGTACTGACTGTTCTGTGGTGCTTAGTCTAACAGACTATATAGGCGGCCACACACACACAGGGAAGACTGTGCAATCAAAAGTGTGCACGCTTGTCTTAAGTTATTAAACCTGTACTCTCTAAACGGCGCAACTGAATTTAAACTCAAGCGTGCAGCGACTTGTGCCCACACACTGAGTTTTCCCCGCGCAGTTATAACTGTGCACGCGAAAAATCAAGCCAATTTTGATTCCAACAGACTTGACTGCACATGCCACATTCTTCCCCAAATACTAGCAGTTTTAACTGTACCCCGTGGCACGTACATTCAAGTCTTGACTCTTCCCTCTCTGTGTGTGGCCGCCTTATTATACTGATCCGTTACTATAGCAGTCTAATTATTATTTATGTACAGTCATTTCATATTTTTATATATTTAACTGTTAATTTTTAAATTGTCGTTAAATTGTCAAACTACATTTATTAGACATATAACTAAAAAATATGTCCGAACCATCATCACCACCCACAGTTTTTTATGAGAATAAAGTGAGAGTGTCGTCGTCTCCTCCACCAGAAGAGATTCTACCCAGTATTACTGGAAGTTGTGGGTTATGGCAAATAGCCGTAATTTCTATCAGCTTAATTTTTCAGTTCATTAGTTTTACGGAGCAGTTATCTATTATAATATCCTTACCCTCTCAAGTAAATTTTACTTGTGCTGACGGCAACGGCAGTCAATGTACATCTGCGAATGGTACTTCGTGTACTAATTTCGTGTTTTTTATACCGTCAGGTAACCTGGCCACTTTTACAGAAAAAGTAATCTTTGAAAACTTATTTAAAATCCAAAGGTTTGAATTTGAATTTTTGTTGCAGTTAAACCTGGTTTGTGGTGAAGGCAAATACCCTACCTTTGTAAAAGGTAGTTATCAGTTCGGGTTGACGATAGGTTTTTTCCTAGCTGGTACCTTGGCGGATAGACTAGGTCATAAAATAACAGCAATGATTTTTATACCACTACAGTGCCTGACAGGATTGTTTATGATTAGCGTAAGCAATATTATGCTGTTAGTTGCTTATATGTTAACACATGGAATTGTTTCGATGGCTATAAGAGTGGTATCAATTTTGACAAGTGAGGCAGGGCGCTACATAACATAACAACTGAAAATGTCAACTTGTTTTTAGTTTGCGATACAGCTGGAAATAACTGGCGAACATTTGCTTTGGGACTTATATTTATACCAAAGTCGATTTCTGTTATTATTCTACCCTATTATGTTGATCTTTTTTCAAATTTTGAAGGACTCCTCGCTGCAAATTCTATTATACCACTAATACTATTAATTCCTTTGCTGTGCAGAAACTATTACTTCTAATTATTATTTTGATGAAATTATGCTTTTAGGTATTTTAGAGATTCTCCAAATTATATTTGTCTAGTAGAAGAATTTGAAAAGAGTGAAAAAGCCCTTCTCAAAATAGCAAAATGTAGTAAATATTCTATTCCCCCTACTACAAGATTAAGACCGGTTCATGTTGTAGTTGTACGTACTTTATGACGTCTTTATCCTTTTTGTATATATTTCAGTGGTCTATTTTAGAGTACAAATATTCCTCAAAAAACAAAATTTTCAAAAATCTTGCGACCTAAAAAAGTGAGGAGACCATTTATAGCTCTGGTAATTTTTTGGTTTTTCATGGGGTACATCAATAGTAAACTAACCCACTACGCCTATCAGAACCTAACCTATTCCACCATAAGCGGCTTGAGTGGTTTAGCTGGCTGCATAACGTCACTATGTTTATGCCACTGGCTCTCTCAGAAAATGGTGATGGGTACTTTTGAATTTTTGAAATGCTTGAGCATTGCTGGACTTTGTGTCTATGATGTACACTTAAAAAATACCGTACCTATAGTAAATCGTAAACGACACAATTTGTAATACTATTTTTGTAGACGGATACATCTTTTGTTGTGTTAAAAATGGTTAGCATTTATTTTCAAACAGTTTCTATAAGTGTAGCAGTTATAATCACACCTCGAATGTTTCCTACAGAACTAAGAGGCAACTGTTTCGGTTTGTGTGGAAGTGTGTATCATTTTGGCGGCTTTTTAGAAAAATTTTTAAGTCATTATGTTCGTAATGCCATTTATGTCACCGGGATTTTTTTAATAATAGCCCTAATTATTGAAGCATATGCCTGCTCCTGGTTTTGGAAAGTACACAACCGCGAATTACCAGATTTTCTGGTAGACTGCATTAGATTCCGCAAGTAAATGTTATTTGACATATAAACAGTTTAAAACTTTTTTTTGGTTTTGCAGGTACTATAAACCTACGAGATTTGTAGTAGTTTACAACAACGAACAACAAGAGGAAATTGAAATTGAGCTTGCAGACTGAATAAATCAGACAAAAATTTATATTTCTCCCAGCAACAAAAATGAAACAGTTTTAGTAATAATATATTGTTATAGTATGTCTTACATATAAACTATTTTACCTTATGTTACCACATGACTGTGATGTATTTCTGCGAATTTGTTATTTCATGAATATTTAATTAAATATTTTGCATCCTTTACAACATTGTAGTTTTTCAGAATTGGAATGTATTGTTACGAACTAAACCCATGGTCAGCCCCAATACGATATCCATGGGTTTTGTAGTTACATTGCCGCAATGACCGGAGATTCATCATCGGCGACGGTCGCGTTCGCATAAAGAAAAGTCTAGAAGCGGTTCTTCCGAAACTCAAGGTGGCGCGCTCCAGAACAACCTCGAAGCAGCGATCGTGAACTATCCAGAAGGAACACGTAGCTGTTTAAATAAGGAGTTTCGTCGGGAGCGAGCAAGTCTAGTCAAATCCAGTCCAGTCGATGAATGAGTACAAGTCAAGTTGTGTCTGAATTATTCTCTGCACATTAACGCTGTATAGTTCATTTTGTATTAACTGTTCATGATTGTTTCAAATTCGTGTTATCTATAAAAATCTGACACTACTGTGATATGTCAAAATAAACAATATGAATAGATGCAGTGGAGTACTAATAATAACAGAACTGTATAATAAAATTTTCCGAAAAATAGGGTGAGCCCTTTTTGATTTGATCAATAAAATAAATTTCCTCATTCATTCACTTTTTTTAGTCACCCTGTATAAGTAATTTTACAAAATGAGTGTAATGGTTTAAATTCATAATATTTTGCGTATTTCAGATAGGATTTATTTGCCAAAATTTTGAGATGACGTCACTAACTTTTTGGGAGGGATAAAAGAAGAGATTTTGATTAACGATTTACCATACTTATGGTAACCTTAAAACTGCAACATTTTGTAATAAAAGTTGGATTTTTTTTTCAAAAATCTTATGTCTAGGATAAAAACTCAACGCAGATTAATAAATCACAAGAGTAGGTATTTAAGAATTTAAATAACATTTACTATTGTAAATTTTGGATATGACGTGATCCCATTTTTGATGGAATGATTAGACAAATTTTGGTTAAGGTTTTACGATCTACATGACATTCCTAACGTACAGGGACAGGGTGAGTATTATAATAACGGAACCCTGACCAACAAAATTATTACCAAAAACATACACGAAGCTCCCATGCACCCCCAAATGTTCACACAAAATCGTCCACTGCGATAAATTTTATGAACGTATTATTAATTATGTCGTTCACCAATTGCACCATACACACGAATACGTCTATTACAAATTTTGAAAATTTTAAGAGTGCTTTCAAAAACCAGTGTACGACTTTCTACATATAAAATTTAACAACGATTGGTTTGGTAGTTTCGAAAATCATCTCTCTAATAAAAATCGACAGAGACGACAAACGCCAGACACATAGAGAAGCAGACAGATAGAACGACACCCGGAAACGGGAGACCTATTTTTTTCATACTCTAGGAATCATGAATGATTTTTGTGGTTAAGTTATTTGAGGATTACCTTAGAATCGGGGTTTTGCGCTGTAATGGAGTTAATTTAAGGACGGAATTTCCAGTCAGTGACGCAGTTTTAAGAATCTTCATAGGATTAGTCGTTATTACCAAAGATTTTTACCGAACTTGACCACTAAACTAGATACGTTCGTTACAAGAATTACTCAGAAGCAAAACGCTTTACAACTGGTCAAATGAATGTAATGGTAATCAACCTTTTACAAGAATTTTTCACCCCGAAAAAGACTTACCTGCTACTCCTGCTATACGACTTTTACACTATGTCATTTATGTGGCTGGTTTTCAAATTGATATCAAATATCGCTGCACTACAGACCATACAAATGCTGGTTATCTTTCAAGAACACCAACACTACCATAACAGTCATGACGTTTTCCAAGATAGACAAATTACATCTTTCAATTACAAAAAAAGAAATTAAGGATTGCACACTGAAGAATTAATTACCTCGCCGTTCGTGATGGTGACCGACTACCAAAAAATTACATTACGGAATAATTTTACACACAAGATGGATAAATTCGGAAAAGAATTCGTGTGGCCGTTCACTCCGCGAACACTTCGACCCCGAATCATGAAAAAACTACATTTTACACGCATTGGGATAATAAAAATGAAATTGTTGACACAAAGTTATGTATAGTGGCCAGGTGTAGATGCAGTTATTGAGAACACAGCAAAAGAATACACAACGGGTTGTAAAAACTGCAATAATCCAAAGAAGGTACCAGTTCACCCTTGGGATTACGATTACACTTCACGTCGGTCCCTTCTATGGCTCTTGATTTCTGAAGCTGAAAAATATTATGCCCAAACTATAAAGAAAAATCTTCGTAATCAGCTCATAAAAAGTGAAGAGTTCAAACTGAGTTTACACAGATTTTTAATGCAGTGTGGAAACATGCCAAATATTATCACCCAAACTAGCCCTGCTGAATTTATGTTCCAATGTAATATTTGAACAAAAATCGACCTCGTACGAAGGAACATTGGACAAGAATTGGCAAAGAAAAATCCAATACCCAAAGCTACAACTAAAATCTTCAAAGGTCGAGTTCAGAAACTATGCCAACGCTAATTTCAAATGGGATTTTGGGAATATAACTTGCATTATTTTGTTTTGACTAAAGGAAGGGCTATACACAGATGTAGACCATGGTATAAGAAGATATCTTGTACCATGATGTAGTCGACGGATTCATCCCAAAGCAACGAGAACCAATTATACCACCTAACAGCTCAGCAGTTACAGCTCCAAATAATCTTGTGACTCCAAATTCCTCAGTGCCAACTGTACAGGGTGAAAACCTGCCAGAGATGGCAATATTTATGCATAGGGCAGCTAGAGTCAGCCACTCTGACTCTTCACCGTTCGATCAGAACGAGGAATTCGATGAAAGCTCCGAATGGTTCAACCTGTAAATTCTGCTGCAAGAATGATTGTCGTATAAGTAGGTCACAGATTACGGATATCCGTAATCTGTGAGTAGGTTCTTATATATGCAACCAACACCACACTCACTGTGTTCGTCCACACAGAAACAATCGTTTTTCAGCATCCTACGTTTTCATTACAGAACGTGATGGTTAATTGTTATGTATTAGTATTAGTATCACTATGTAGCATAATGTTATTAAAATGTGTATCCTGACAATCTACATTGTACATACAAAATACAATAATATCAATGACACTGCTTGGTCAAGTTAACCGGTATTCTTAAAAATGTAGATGTTTAGTGGCCTACTTTGTACTTAATTTTAATCACTTCAATGTCATTAAGTTGTCTTAAAAGACACGTATGGCGGACAGACAGACAGACGAAAACGGGAGATCTATGTTTTTGTACTCTAGGGCTCATAACATCGAGAAAATGTGACAGCAGTCAGTTGCACCATCCCTACGGTCGGGAAGTTAAAAGCATCGTACAATATGTATATGTTACTAGTGCGTTTTTCCATATAAAATTTTTTTATGATGTCATCAACATTTTATCAAGGAGACGTATATCAATTAGAATAGTATGTGATGCTGTTATTAATACCTGCTGTATCCTCAAATTTTCGAGATAATGGGATGGGCAGTAAAACTGTCCCCTTATTCACTTTGTAGGTTGTGAGGACCGAATTTGAATCAAATTTTCGCGCTGAAATTAATTAACAGCGGCGGGAAATGACATTTGAACAATTTGAAGAATTTGAGAAAAAAATATTCAATAAAAAGAAAATCGTTAAACATAGGCAACCATGTGCACGCTAGCGCTTTGTGGCATGGCAAGAGCATGGTGAAAGCATGATGATTGTTTGGTTCAGTGTTGCGTGTACATGGTGAAAAGACGCTGTAAGTTAGCTAGGTTAATTAGTTGGTTTGGTAGTTAATAAAAGGGGGGAAGCCTTTGTTTAACGAAAATTAATCGTAACGATGGCGCCCAGTTTTCCCCAAACCCGCGCAGCTAATTCTTGCGGCTTTCTAATCGGAAAAAGTGCTAATTTTCGACCGACGCTACACGTGCTGTAAATTTGTTTTAATGTTTGTCAATTCACCGATCAGGTTAGGATTTTAATCGTTAACTGGTTCTAACACAATTTAACAGACATTAGATTTGCTTAGACAGACATTTACTAGGAGATTTCATGAAATTCACTTAGTCAAGATAACACCTTTTGTTTACAAGTTATGAATGAGGTTTCGAGATGCTAATACTTAAGTGTTACATTATAACTAAGGAGATGCAGTTTTAGGCCAGGCGCCTCCCACCACTTTCCGTCAGCAGCGTCCGCTGTTAAACTACTGATATGTATGTTAAATCTTGCATTTCGCCGCGCGACACTGGCGTGGCAATGATAATGAGGAGTGGGAGTTATAACCGCGTCCTTGAACTGTTTTTACATCTCTCTAATTATAACACTTCTTAATTCTTCACACAAGATTGCTAATAGTTCATTTACGGTAGTTAAATTAATAAAATTCATTATATCGTGAACAGACGGGGAGTTAAAATAATTATTAACATCGTTATCATCATTACATCACCGAGGCATTTCCTCGCAACGTTAACGATTGATTACATCACCGAGGCATTTCCTCGCAACTTTAAAAATTACATCACCGAGACCGTTGTCTCGCAACGTTAAAATTTAATCACCAAGACGCTTTTTCCTCGCAACGACGACTGAATATTTTTGTGTTTATTTATTACGTGTTTTGTTGGGCTAATCACTTCACGATAAACTCTCAAAGTTAATTATTTTAAGTAACCACTTGGATCAAGGCATAATTTAACATAATATAAACTCTTTGTTTGAAGCGTTGATAAAGTGTGGTAAATATTAATCTCACATAAATTTTGTTAGCTTTGCAATTTTTTGCCTCATATAATATTGCTCTATCTCACAATTTTTATCCTCAGTAAGTTTCTTTGTTGTATAATTTTAACTGAACGAAAATTTCAATGCTTTGCACTTCTAACCTCACGTAATATTGTTATTTGCATACGTTTTTTTCACACAAGATCTTTTGTTTTCATAAATCTTTGCTAGTTTTTTTTATGTAAATGTTTTGTTGATGAATGTTTCCATCATATAAATTATCTGATGTCCAATCTTAATCTTAAATAAAAATGATTTGATATTTAAAATGTCACAAGATTTTATGGCGAATTTAAATGTTGCTTATTGCTCTTGTCGTGTCCATCCGTGTTATTATCGGTGGCCAAGCATGGACACTAACAAAATTATTTATTTGGGTGTAGGCCCATTTCCTTGGAAATGGATAGCTAAATTGCAATCAGGGAGAGGTAATAAGTAAAATGTAGTCTTCATTTAACAAGTATATTAAATCTAAATTCAAACAGAATTAATGGTAAAAATTGTAAGTCCCAGACAAAGATGAAATATAAATACATTCTTAAGGCTACGAATCCAAAAATCGTATTTTGACGCGTCCGCTAAATAATCCCTACCTACTTGATAAAACAAAACTAAAAGAGTTACTATTCACTTCAATTAAATATATGGTAATCAACCGTTACTACAAAAGGCCAAATATCAA